AGATAGATAGATAGATAGATAGATAGATAGATAGATGATAGATAGATAGATAGATAGATAGATAGATAGATTGATCGATCCAAGGTGGTATTTGTTCTCTTAGTCTCCTGAACCAACTGTAGAAGATTGGCTAAGAACAGGTTGAATTTCACATCCAACTGTTGAAATAGAATCCACTAGAAAAGTGCCATGATTTATGGCCCCGTCAGAAATTAAGTGGTTGGGGCCTAAAATATCATCAAAACTCTTGACAAAATGAGCGACAAAATTATACAGTCTATGGAAACTATCCCAAGGCAAGCAGGATGAGAAGGGGCTGCCATGACCAAATGGGTTTGCCAGCCTGAGATTTGGCATGGCACCAACTTTGTTGTTATGATTCTTAACATCTGCTTGGATACAAGGTGACCAAAAACATGGAGAAGGGTTATTTTAAACACCCCAAAATGTTCAGCTGGGTGACTGTCACAGCAGAGTTGCAGATTCTTCATCAAGAAGGAACATGTAGCTGGCCATTGTGGGGAAACTCTCTTTGCTTACAGGAAAACAAGGAGGAAGATGGCAAACAGAACCATCCTAGACTACTCAAAAGGATTCTTCTCTTGCTGGGCATAGATTTGGTTGGTTAAGGAAGAAGACTTCATTCTTGCTTCAAGAATCTTAGAGGGAGGAGGTACTGAAAAGCCCACCAAAAGTTTACATGATGTAAAAATTTAGGAAGATTGTAAAAACCTTTTCCTCAGAGTCTTTGGTTTGGAGAACACTAATTAGGCCAACAATGTGTGTTTTTAATTAATTACTATTATGCCTTTATAAGTGTAAGTCACCTAGAATCTGGCTAGAAGGCAGCAAATAAAAAATACATACATTATACATGTCTGGGGTCCCAGCTTTGAAGTCAGAGTTTTGACCAAATGGTTTCTGAAAATGTCTGATCCAGAGGTGTTAGGATGAGACCAGAACTTTTTTTACTGGGACTTATAGATGGCCAATTAGAAAAGACCTATTGAAGATTGGTTTTGTACATGGTAACTGCAGCGAGACTGTTGTAAGTGCAAAGATGGAAAAATACTGTATTGAAATACCCACAGTGGATGAAAGGATTGTGAAGGTGACAGAATTTGCAGAAATGGCAAAATTGGCCTGTTTGATCAGGGATAAGACAACAAGAACTTTTATTAAAGACTGGAAACCGCTTATGGAAAAAAAAAAGAACTTGTGATTTATAGATTTGCTGATTAAAAAAGGTTGAATATGGGAAGAAGGGAATTATGATGTAACTTTAAAAGAGGGAGGAGAGATAGTAAGTTTGTGACTGCTGTAAAGAAGATTGGAAGTTGTGTCTTTATATCTTTTTCCCCCTATTTGTACTATTTTTCACACTTTTCTTTCTTTTCTTTAATCTTACCTTACATCATTTCATGCTTATCTTTTACTTCTACGAAAATCTTTAATAAAAATTATATATAAAAAAGGAGGAAATAGGGCATATGTTGGAAAGAAAGCCACCTCCCCACAATTGTAGCACTTTACTGATACTTGGGAGTGGGGGAGGTGGATTAGCAGGGCAGCCTCATGCAAAATAACTAGATTCTACACTATATAAGCCGGCTTCTACCACATTGGTTCAACTTCCCTGAAGTCTCCAATGTGTGGGAGGAAAGGGAGGGAGACAGAAATGAAAGTGAGTAATAGTATCTTCCCTTTCCATCTATAGCTCCTTGAGTCTTCCATCAGTGTCCAGAGAGATTTGGATTAATACAGTCATAATATTTGAGGTGTGCTGATGCACTAATTAGTACATTTTGTATTTCATAAGACAGGCCTTATTTGAACTGTCCACTCTTTCATTCCAGCAGTGAAACTGTAACACTACTCCCACACTGGTGGTGGCCAATCTTGATTAGGATCATCAATTAGCCCTCAGGCATACCCCAAAGTTATTATGGTTACCCATGTCTGAAATGGCCTAGATCAGTCAGGAGACTGTCCACTTTGCAGTCTGAGGTTTATTGAGAAAACTACTTTGGCTTGATTGATAGGAAAGTCTTCTAGTCTCAGAGAGATATGTAATTTATTTTGAGTTGAAAGGCAGTAAACTTGGTTGGATTTTTGTAATATTTGTCTTGCAAGGAAGTAGGTACCCAATGCTGGACCGCCATTACAGGTGTAGCTCCTGCAGTCCCTGCTGCTATGTGGTCTATTGGAGCCCCTACACATCTGCAATAGTGATGTGTTCTGCTGTCCCTCCTGGGCTAAATGATTCATGTTCTGGATTAGTTGGTTGAACTGGGTAGCCATCTTATATTTATACTGAAAAATGCGTTAACTAACTGGTCAGCAGCCATTGTTCTGATTCTCAAATGGGTATGTGATGGCTCTCCTCCCACTGATGCAGAAGTGTAGAGAGGGAAATTAAGCTATCAGGCATCCTCCTTTAGCTAGCTCAAACTCAACAGCTACCTAGGCACTTGACATGGCATGGTTAGTTAAGAATTTTGATTCATCAAAAGACGGAAGACACTTAAATCAACTGAATGCCCTCTGCCAAAATGCAGGTACAGTTTCTTCTTATATCACAGTTCAAACGTGGCACTCCTTTCTCCCATACTTTCCCCATCTTAGCAGACAACCTGCTTGCATTTCTCATGTTTAGTGTGATATGGTAGTAAGTTATTGACATATTCAACATTCCTATCCTGGGGAACACTAGTTCCCAATGTATTTCCTACAGATATAATACACCAGGGCATCATACAGATTGCATTTCAATCTGGATCCTCATCCTTATAAAAGTAGCTGGAAAAAGTTTACTAATACCACTTTATCTCATAAGCACAATCAGCCACAAGAGAGCATTGAGCATCTTTGCTCATGTCATTTATCATAATATATCATATTCTGATAATTAATCAGAATATTCATATTCAGAATAACCATAATCATAATAATCATACTTTGATTAATTATCAGAAGACTAAGACTGTAGTGTTTGCCAAAAGCCCCAAGCTACATAATTGGAATATCCAATGCAATATCATTGAGCTTACTTTAAGTATCTAATCAAGTCAAATCTTTATATGGTCAAAGACCAGCATATTAGTATCTAGCATTATATTACATGCCTCAGGCAAGAAGAGCAGCCAGGTTGAAAATGCAGTACAGAGAGTACAGAGAAGCACTGCAGGTATTTTAAGGTACTTCTGCTCAAAAGGAAATAGTTGCAAGCCAGCTGTCTTCAAACAATTTGTGGCAAAGCCATTGGCTCAACTCTTACATGAAGCTCAATTAATCCATATCCCATTTATTCTGTTTGGAAATAGTGCAATCCAAATTCCTGATGGTAGTCTTCAAATCCCCAATTGTATCCCTAACACTGCCTTGCAGCTAGAGGCCAGTATACTCAAGGCTCATGTTTTAATTTTTGTTTAAAGTTTAAATTCTGTCCTCTAATAATTTTTGACTGATTTTGGTTGGCCTGGAAGAGGACCCTATTGAACAAACTAGTGACTTATGGCTTTTCTCCAGCGTTTTTGCTATCCATAGGTTATGTTCAACCGAGACAGCTTCTTAAACACTGAATAGGCACTGAATGGTATAATGAGTTAAATCAAGTCCCTAACAATATTAGGGACCAAATCTCTGCCTGCAGCCAGCTAAACATTTTTTTTTTTTTTACTATCTAACTACTGCAGAGCCTTCTCTTAGGCTTAATATCCTTCTGTACACTATTCTGGAAAGCAGATTTACTGGATCCCTCTATTAGGAGTGCTTCTGTCCTGGTGGCTTTTTTTTTTTGTTGTTTTTTTGCTCAAGTCATTGTTTGACTCCTGGCGACTGCCTGGACTATTCCCTGCAGTTTTCTGGGCAATGTTTTTGGAAGTGGTTTGCCATTGTCTGCTTCCTATGGCTGAGAGTGACTGGCCAAGGTCACCCAGCTGGCTTCGTGCCTAAGGTGGGACTGGAGCTCATGGTCTCCCGGTTTCTAGCCTGGAGCCTTAACAACTACACCAAACTGGCTCTCCCTGGTGGTGTAGGGTGGTCAAAACAGTTGGGCATGCTTTCCTATACTGTATATTTTATACAGACCTACACAATAAACTTATTACACTCTTTTATTGAACTTTTCAGGCCACTCACATGAATTCCTTTTTATCAATTTACTTGTAGACAGGCAGCCAGTTACGAACCATAATGCAGCAAAATGTTGCATGAAGAATGCAACAACAGTGAAAACTAGAAAGCCATCTTTCTCTCCAGAAGTAGCACATAATTTCCTATTGAGATTATGTTATTGTCTGTTTTATTACAGTATTATTCTATTATTATCTGAGCTCTTATAGGCTATTTTGAGCTGTTGGCCTTTGCCCATCATAAAGAATTAATCATCAGGTTTGCAAGTGAAAAAAAACCCTGCTTAGCGGGGAAAGAAGTGTTCATCAGGAGGAGAGTTTATAGGAAGCTATTAGGAATGCAATTTAAAAAAAAAAAGAGCATGCCTTATCCATCATGGTGCCTATCTTTTGGAGCAGCCTCCCCTCACATTTATGAATGGTTCTGACCCTATTGGCCTTCAGGAAGGCAGCAAAGACCTGGCTTTCCCCCCAGCACTGGGGCTCAGATGTTAATGGAGCTCTGGTGTGGTTGTGTGTGATCTATGAGCTTTGAGATTTTTATTGGGCTCTTGACTTTATCTTTTTTCTTTTTTTCAACTAATGTTGATAATTTTTTTAAATTTTTGTTCACTACCCAGTGGTCCTTTGGTAGATGGGCTGCCATCTTATTAAATATAAATTTATTTAATAAACAAACAAACAAACAAACTGGTAGACCCTATTTCTGGTTCTAAGATTTTATCCAATAATTATATCTGATGCTAAACTCAGAAAAAATCTTGCAGGATGTAGTAGTCTACATGCCAATTATTTAAAACACCTTTACTACATTTACTGTTTCCTTCTTTTAAATAAAGGGAAAGAAGTAATACTCAAAGAAGCAAAGAACTGTCACTCCAAGGACAAAGCTGAAAAGATCTCCCATTATTTACAAAATAAAGAATAACAGATGCAAACATTGAAAAGCTAAATAACTTTCTGGAAGGAAACTTTAACTACCAATGTCTAATAAAGCAAGCTGACACAATAACCTATACAACACAAACACCATTTAAAGCACCTACTACAACGCTCATTAAAAGATTATTTGGATATATTTGCATGGTCTTAAAAAAATTATTGGAGCAAGACTTTGACCTTTAAAGTCCTCATTTCCAACAAGTTATATGCAAATATTCCTGCATTTCAAAAGCAGTAAAACTATCAGCTCACTACAAAGGGTATGCTTATAAAGACAGACAAAATGTTTCTGTGTACATGCCCTAATGTTAGACATTTCCAGTGCATTTGCCTCCTGGAAAGTTCAACAGACTGAAAATTTTATTGGGCCTATCTTTAGATTATTCTGTAAACTATTGAAAAGACTAATTGCATTAAGTAATTGATAAATTAAAGAAATGATAACACATAATAATTTGCAGAATTAAATACTAATTAAGATACTGTAAGTGATGTGATGCGAAGATGATGAAACAATGATATAGTTTGCATAACTATTTGACTTGTTTATAATGTTATAAATTGACAAATCTTGCATAAAAACTTTTGTGGCATCTGTCCAGGAGTTATAGACATCTATAGACATCCTATGAGGCCACTGAAGCTGAAAGCAACTTTCCAGCTTCTAAATTAGAAAGATCTGGAAATGATTATATATCAATATATGCACAATATATACATAAAAATAAATCTTATCTCTAACTATCCTCAAATGTTACTTTCATGTTCCCTACTACATGTACACAACTGAAAAAAACAACCCTAGACTTTTAGTTAATCCTTCTCAGTGGCTGAAATAAACATATCTCACATGGTAAATTATATATCGTTATATATATTAAATTAAAAGAGGAGATTTTTAAAAAAACAGACCAAGGAAAGGTATGTTCCCTCTTGTCATTCAACTTGACAATATCCATATACAAAATCCAAACTACTGCTGAAGGCTTTGGTCTTATCATTTTGGGAATTAGAATAACAGCACAGACTATTCATACAGTATTACAGATGAAAAAGAAAGCAATTTTGTGTCTACTGTTGTTAGCATACTATCTCTGGAGGTGGCTAGATGGTATAGCTGCATAGTTTAGTTATATTGACTAAATCTGCTGCAATCTCAGATTCCACTTGAAAAGTCTGTGCTGGGATCACAGAACCTTTTGATGGCTAATTATCACACTTAATATTTAGGAGGAGCCCAAAAGCTGCCATGGTTAGGATTGTGATGCAAATGGACACATGAGGCGGTCTTGATATTTCCCAGGGTTTTGAGAGAGGACTTTCAATGTTTATTTTTATTTTGAAAAGCTATGTGACATCAATTTTAGGCTTACATTACATTTTTCATGTGTTTCCTGCCTCAAAATGGTAGAAGATCACACAACTAAATTTTAAGAATTGTGATTAAAAGGGCTTCAGGGGACCTCATCAATCCTGGGGATGCAGGCTGCCCACCTTTAATCTAAACTGAATACCTAATAGGAATGTGATGCACTTTGGATCTGAAGCTGAAAAGGTACTTTGGAGAGGATGTGGATGTGCATATCACACCTATCACCAATGATTTAAAGAAGGAGCATATTTTCCTGGGGTCACATAGTCTCAGGAAAATTCATGTTTCAGTTAAGAAGGCATCAACAATGCACCCACACCTGCTCTGAAGAAGTATGTCACACATCCTGTTACAGCCTCCTTGGTTATCAAAGGAGCCCAGGAAAAGACACAGATGCTTTAAATAATTGTTAACAGGTGCAGCATGTATCCCCATGACTGCTCTATAGCACCTTTTCAGCTCCAGATCTGAAATGCAGCACATCCCTAATATCAAATTATTTTATTTTTTCCACTAGTTGTTTAATCAGAAAGATGTAGCCATTTGTCTGATTCACATAAATTAAATAGCAACTATGCTCTATTGCACCCTAATCCCACTTAAGTGTTCTAGATAGCCCAACTATGCCAACCTAGGTCAAGCCTGTAAATGAAGCAGCCATCCACTCCAACCCCCTTCCTCACCTTGGCTCTCTTCTTGCATAAAAGTGCCACAATGCTTAGATAGCCAGCAGCAGCAGCATAACCAAGAGATGTTAAACCACTTTCGGAAGAGGCATCAACATTTGCTCCAAACTCCAACAGCAAGGCCACCATCTCAGAGTAACCAAGGTGAGACTGGACACACAAAATTGGAGCATTGTTCAGCACTTCAGTCCTGTAATTGATGTTGGCGCCTCCCAAGATCAGCAGCCGACTGACCTATATAACAAGAAAGAAATCATTATAGTAATAAGTTAGAGCAATATTTTTCAGACTTCTAATAGCTGAGAAAAAATATTTGATTTTCTGAACCGAAATAATACAGTGTTTTGGGTAACAGACTGATTTTGAATTGGATGAGCAATTCTTTGCAATACTGGAATGAGAAGAACAGAGATGAAAGACCTAAAGATGAAACATGGAATGAGTGGTTACTTATAGCTGCAGTTCTTTGAGTGGCTATCTGTGAATTTAATTTAATTCATTTGATTTAGGTGCCGTCCAACTTCAAATTACTCTGGGCGGCTCACAATATAACAAAAGAATAAAATACAATACAACTCAAAAGCAAACCAGCACAAAGATAAGAAAGCAGATTAAAAAAAGATGGCGAATCTGGCCATCAGCAAAATTCAGAGGTTCCAGAGTTTAGCATGAGCTGTGCCTAGTCACATGATATACATATACATGGATGGGACTCCAACCAAAAATTTTATAAACTCTAGAAGGTCCTGAATAAGGTCTACCTATTTCTGTCTAATTTTAGCCTAAGCTTATCTTTTTCTCAGCTACTGCTGAAAATTTACAAGAAGTCAAATTAAAGTTCAAAAATTTGAAAATATTCTCTCATTCTCTCTGCTTCCAGTCTAAGGCTTTGCATAGGAAAGGAAATAGGACAGGAGAAGCAGTAGCATCTTGTACCAGCTGGCAAATCAGGCGTTCCAAAGTCTGAGATGGTTTTTCATTTAACAGACTAAGAGATTGTGCCATTGGAAAAAATTGCTCACTAGAAGAGTTAAGACACTGAGAGGGAAACTAACAGCTTGGTCTCTACTAGCATATTAGGCAACAAGATAGAAGGAGAAGTTCACCAATCAAAGAAGCACCAAAACTGTAACTGTTTCCCTCTGAATGGTCAGACTGAGCTGTATAAAATAGTGAACAATGTAGTTGGTTTGGATGAGTAGTGTTAACAGGCCTCACTTCTGGGCAAGGAAGAGATGACAAACTTTGAGTGAGAGGCTATGTTGGGCTAAAGCCTAAATGTGAGATATACTTCTGATGACTAACTGAAGAACAGACATGTCATGAGGATACGAAAGCAATCCCATAACAGCCTGTGGATTCTGGAATCTTTCAGGAGGAAGACTGTGATGCTTAGACAGAGGAAGACAGAAAACACAAGGAATGAAGAACCAGACTGCCAAAAGAAGTTTATCATTTGATCAGGTTCATCAGGCTTCCAGCCATCTTTCTTCTGAAATTATTAAATGATTTTCAAAAATCCCTTCATAGTCATATGAGAGCTGAAAAATATCTCATTTATTTAAGATCCTCTTGAAGCAGGAGGACTGTTATCTTTATCCTCTATGTTTGATATTATTCTTGCTTGTATTCAGGTTGTTAAACTTCTTTATATCTGACTTTTCATTATACATTTGTTGTATCTGTACAATCCTATCTACAATGAAAGATTATGAATTGATGCTTCTTCCACAGCTGTGCCCCTCCTTTTTTTCTCCTCCCTTTCTCCCCCTGACCTCAGTTTTCCTTCTTTCTAAACCAGTCTTCATCAAAACAACTTCTCTGGTATCTCATTCTTTGGTATCTAAATGTAAAGCATACACAGAACTGCTTTGCCATGATTCCCTCCCATCCCAGAGCTGGCACAAAATCATGCCATCCTAAATGTTGCTGCCTGCATGGCACAGCCTTAACAGGACTGTGCTGCACTGAATGCTGTACACATTCTTAACATTTTAAGAGACATGATTGGCAATTTCCTCAGCTGAAATCCTAGCTCTACCCAAGATCACCCACCACATGAAAAACTTCCTCCAATTGGCACGCACAACACTCTGGTTATTCCACATTCTGTAATTTTTTCTTTTAATTTTGTCATCATACCATCAACTTAATTTATTTTTTAAAATTATAGGTTGACAGTTCAGAGTTTTTTTGTTTCTTGTGGCTGCCATTCAGAGGTCAGCTAGATCCGTGGAGCCAAGATGAACTGCTGAATATGTTTTGTTAAAGGGATGGAGTTTTGCTGCAGAATTGGTATGTGAGGAGAAGAAGTGAGGAGCCAAAGCTTACCTGGCAGCAGTGGCCATTGGGAAGTGAATTTTTTGCTACACAGGTACAAGAGATACTGTTCCTTGGGGAGATAGCAACTGTAGCCAGGAAGGCCTTTGCAGAGATCTATCTGGTGCACCAGTTGAGCCCATTCCTAGATCAGAAGGCCCTTCACACAGTCACTTATGCCCTAGTCACCTCACAAGTTGATCATTGCAATGTACTCTATGTGGGGCTTCCCTTGAAGAGCATGCAGAAGTTACAGCTGGTCCAGAATGCAGCAGTGCAGGCAGTGATGGTATCCACTGCTGCATGAGCTCCATTGACTGCCAGTCTGCTTCCAGCCTATAATTTTAATAAAATTAATATATAAGAGCTGAATATTTTCCATTAGATTGATTTAGCCAGATTCTGAATGGAGCTCTGAGCAGATATATAACTCATGTGCGTGAACTGCATAAATCTGAAGAACTGTTAGATCTTTGTAAAGAAAGAGGCAGAAAATGTCTTTACCAATATTACTGCTGGCAATGGAAAAGAAAGGGGCAGATAGCAGCCTAGCCTTCTTGAATGTGTACTTTCAGGGGGTTGTCCTTCCCACCAAAAACTTCTTGGCTACAGAAGATTAATAATAATAATAAAAAAGTGGTGCCAGTGCAAAATCTGTATGTATGATATATTGGGAAAAAGAATGAAAATGTAAGGAATCTCTGCAGATTTTTAGGATTTTCACATATTATTTCTTTAAAATCCACACAAAAATGAAACAGACTGGACTTGGTTTAGAACAAATGAAGGATCAGGACAGAAAGGATATATTGATTGACCATCCTTGTTTGTTTTATTTGTTATTTGTGTATTCCCTAAAATCTTTGACATATTGTAAAGAAATATTTAAATGTTTTTTCTTTTAATCATCCAACACCTTGAGCACCATTTGCTAGTGGAAAGGCAAGATATAAAACTAATAAATGAATTAATACAATTCTCTATTGTTGCAATGTGCTCTACATGGGTCTGTCCTTGAAGACTACTTGGTAGCTTCAACTGGGCCAGAATACAGTGGCATTGGCAGTGATAGGGTGATGACATGACACCCTTGCTTTGCAAATTGCATTAGTTGCCAGTTTGCTTCTAGGTGCAATTCAAGTTGCTGGTTATGACTTATAAAGCCCTACATGACATAGGGTCTGTTTACTTGAGGGACTGTCTATCTCCTGTGCGGGTCTGCCAGCTGGTTCAAACCAACAGGGTTGGCATGCTTGGGGTTCCTTCAATCAAATAGTGTCATCTATTGGGACCCAGGAAGCATGACTTCTCTGTCTTGGCACTTGACCTCTGGAATGGGATTCCCTCTGAAATCCAGATAGCTTCCACCTTGATAGTGTTCTGGAGGGTCTTAAAGAAGTGGTTCTCCACCCCTGTCTATCTCCACCCAGATCACACACCCAGCTAGCTGGGCTGCAGCCCCTTGCTGGGTGTGTGATACATGTTTTTGTGTTGTTAGCTGGATTCACCATTTTGTTTACTGTTTTCTATATAGCCTGTACATTTTTTATTTTGTACTTATACTGAGAGCTGCCCAGAGTTGTTCTGGAGTTGGGCAGTGACTAAATCAAATGAATGAATGAATGAAATAAAACAACTTACATTAACTACATTAAACAAAGTTGTATTAAAGATAGTCAGCAAAATGTCCCTAGAAATAAAGAAAATATTAGGTCTGGTAATTGGGAGAAATACCTACAGATCATAACTTATCAAATTGATAGAACTTGATACAAATAAAACGAAGGCAAAATGGAAAGGTAATTAACTTGAATACAAAAATAAATCTTGCTAAATTTCTGGAATCTGAAATGGGAAGTACTAAGTTGCCAAAATATCAAAAAGGTTGAACAGAAGTGGAGCAGGTTGCTTTGCCTGAAGGCCAAACTAGGATGTTCTCCAATTTGTTTCACTTGTCAAAAACCTCAAAGAATTAAGGACAATTAAGTGGAGCTTTGAAAATACGTTTTCCAGAGCTAGACAGAACTAGAACTGGGAAGGGCTGCTCTTTCCAACAGGAAGGTCTATCAAAATGTTGGCTTTGCTTCCTGGAATGAGCCGGATAGGATAAATAGGATAACCTGTTCAACTATGGAGTGAGCAGGAGAGGATCTAGAAGACAATGTGCTCCACTATAGGAACCCTACAGTTAAAATCTTTGTTCACCTACCATTGTCTTGGCTTTTAAAAATATTCTCTTAATTTACCCTAGGAGAGAGCATCTCTTGGCATTAATAGAGGTTTCACTCCAAACCAAAAATAACTAGTATTGGGGAAGGGAGGAACCAGAGAAAGGGCTCAGAGCCTCTCTCCATCTTCTGTATTTATGACAATGTTCAGGCTTACCACAGCTGCTATTTATATAAGGAAAACAAGGATATTAATCACATTTGTGAAATTAATGTTACTTTTGGTTTGGTACCAACGTAACATAATATTGAGCAAAGAGGCAGTTCCAGGAGGTGGATCATGGGTCACAAACTGTGATGATCAATGTTGAATTTCTCCAAGTCCAATCAAATCAAATCAAATCAAATCAAATCAAATCAAAGTTTACTGATTAGCCCTAAGGCCTTATCAAAAAACAATTAGACAGTAAATAATGAATAAAACTCTTTACAAAATTAATATAGCAGATTAAATAAAACATGAATAAAAATAGAGTAATAAGTATACTGTAAGTAGATATACATGTAAGTGAAAATACAAATCATATTTCCATATCACCTTGGCAATTCACTCCAATCAACGCCACATATGTAGATCTCAAATGCACTGCTTTGCTTAAAAACAAGGCTGTGTTATATGTTATTTTTAGGTTTTGACCACACATAAAATATGTTATTCTAATATGTGAATCCCAATGGGTCGTTTGTTTAACATATGGGCCAAGATGTAAGTCTCTCACCATCTTATACAAGCTACAGTCAAATAGTATGCGTGCTATATCCTCAGTTTCAGGTGCTCCGCATATACAAATGCATTCATTATAAGGGATCCTGTCAAATCTCCCATATCTGACCATGGTATCAAGTTGTTCGAATCTAGCTCGTGTGAATGCCTCCCTAAGTTGTTTTGGCATTTGCATTTTTAAGGAATTATCAGTTTGAAATGTACGTTTATAACAGCTCAGCCATTTCAAATTGTGAACCTTACTGAGGGTGGCTATATCTTTTTGCGCTTCAATATCCAAAATTCTTTGTACAGCTCTCTTTTTAGCTTGATCTCCAAGAGCATTGTAGACTGGGAGACCACAATTCCTTATAAAATTTATCAATTGTGTGATCCAAGAGATCTGTTGTTGGGATTTTATCTGTTCTAATAAACACAATCTAGGAAGTCTATCAGATTCCGTTTCATTAATTTTATACCAGTAATTATATGCTCTGATTTTAGTTTGTGAATAGGTTGTGTAAATTCCCAGTTCAGCTCTAACAGTGGCAGCTGAAGTCCTTTTATCTAAACCCAGGATGCTTTTCCGATTCTGTGATTTTCTCTGTTGCAGAATTTAAGCCCAAAACTCCTGCTGCCTATAAAAGCATAGGAATAACCTTAGCTTTATATACTTTAATTATCGGGGTCAAGGAGCCTGGGTAGATATGAGTTTTTAATTTAAGCAGTAGGTTCATACGTGCCCTTGCTCTAAGTGAGCTCCTTTGGTGGTGGCAAATCCAGGATCTGGTCTCAGAGAAATTTACCCCAAGGTAAGGAAAGGCTTTCACTTGCTCTATTACTTCACCATCTAATCACCATCTATGTCTCTGCTGACCTTTTCCAAATACCATAATTTTTGATTTTGACTTGTTAATGATTAGAGAATTATCCTGACAATAGGAGCTAAGCCTTCTTAACAACCTGTGGAGTCCCACTTGTGCATAAGATAATAATATCATGTCATCAGCATATAACAAGGTGTTACAATATGTATTTAGGACTTTAGGCATAGGTACTGAGGGGTCCTTCATTACTCCTGGTGGGTCGTTAATATAGAGACTAAATAACAATGGCATTAATATGCAGCCTTGTCTTACCCCTTTATATGTATTAATCCTGTTTGTCATAGCTCCGTTTACCCCAAACCTCACTCTCAAACATGTGCTTGTATGTAGAGCTTTAATCAATACCAACAGTCTGTGTTCAATTTTGAGGGCAATCAATTTGCTCCATAATAATTCTCTATTCACTGTGTCAAACGCTGTAGTAAAATCAATAAAGGCAGCATAGAGATGTCTCCTCTTACTGGCATATTTGGTGATCAGGTGATTTAAAATGAAACAGTTATCAGTGGTCTATCGATTCTGCCTAAAACCTGCTTGTTCTTCTGCCAGGATACCTTTTTCATATACCCAGCT